CTGGAAGAGCTGCCTCTGTGTTCCTGTAGCGCCTTTCTGTCCCCTAGAGGTAAATTCTGTTGTGTGGCGCTTATCGAACTCTCGAACTCTTCCTCGTGTAATTTTCCTGTCGACTTACCTTATCTTTCCTATTAGATTTTTAAATACCAACAAGTCAAGGACTGTGTTTGTTCCTCTTTGTGTTTCCAAAGCTCTGAGGACACCTGGGCCTTGTCCCACCGATGCACAGTAAATATTTGCAGGTTTGGAATGAATTGCCTGTTCTAAATCGGAACCTGGAAGAGGGAGGTAGGAGAAGCACTAGAGGATGTGCAGGTTCCCGGAGGCTAAGTCTGGGTGGCCATTCTCGGCATTCAGTTCCGCAGCAGCTCCCAACGTCTCCTCAAATTCTGGCTGCTTATTGTGAGCCAGGGATGCCCAAGGTGGGGTAACATGTTACCTGTGAATTACCTCCAGGAGCCGTTCAGTCTTCTTCCTTATGCGTTAGCCCTCCCTGAGTCCTCTTTTCTCTTTCCAGCACTTGTAAATACTGTGTGTGCTTTATTGGTTCATAATTACACAAAGTCTCCCGCAAAAGCTTATTTAAGTCACGGTATAGGGGAAACGTGCTTTTGCATTGGAAGTCAAGAGAAACTAGCCCAGTTATAGTGCCAGTTATTTAGGAAAACAATAGTGAAATTCGCATAAGAATGTTAATTTATTAAGAGTTAAGGGTGATCACCGCGTAAGGTGTATAAATGTCTAATCGCTATGTTGTAGACCTGAAACTAACATAATATTCTATGTCAACTGTAATTGAAAAATAATTTAGCCAGCCGAGTGACTCAGTTGGTTAAAGAGCTCGCTCAAGAGTGCGAGCTCTGAGCAACAGGGTCTCCGGTTTGATTCAAGACCCGAGCTGAGCTGCTACTGAGCTGCCAACAGGTGGCGGGATGGCTCAGCTAAAAAAAAAAGAAAAAAGAAGAAAACTAATTTAGAAAAAACGCTAATAGGAAGAGCAAGCTTAATTGAAAGATGTAGAGGCAGCTGGGGAATTGGGGGAGGGGAACAGTGTTGGGGAATTGGGGAAGGGGAACAGACAAGTTGTTGTTCTTCAATCTTAGTTGTGGAGGGTGCCAGTCGCCACCTGGCTGCCTGTCAGCAGCTCATGGCCTCTAAGCTCAAGATGCTGTGTTCAATCTTAGTTGCAGGTGGGTGTAGCCACCATCCCATGCGGGAGTCAAACCAGCAGCCTTGTTAAGAGAGCACGTTCTATCCACTGAGCCATCTGAGCAGCAGCTTAGCTCAAGGTGCTGAGTTCAGGCTTAGTTGCAGGTGGGCATAGCCACCATCCCATGTGGGAGTCGAACACAGCAGCCTTGTTGTTAAGAACGCACACTCTATGCACTGAGCCATGCAGGCATCAGCTCAGCCCAAGGTGCCAACTTCAATCTTAGTTATGGGTGGGCATAGCCCACCGTTGAACAGGCTATCTTATTGTTATACCAGCTGAGCCATCCTGCCACCTGTTGGCAGCTCAGCAACAGCTCTGCTTGGGCGCAGAGTCACTGGCCTATGTGGGAATCGAACCAGCGGCCCTGTTGCTCAGAGCTTGTGCTCTTAAGCCAACTCTTAACCAACTGAGCCACTTGGCCAGCCCCTAGGATATCTTAAAGGAGGTTGAAAATTGTTGATCTTTTTTATTACATCAGTTTTACTTCATTTATGAGTTTTATTTTCCCTGACTTAGTAGCAGTGTCCCACTTATCAATTATGGAGAGACAATTTTTATTGACTGAGATTTAGGATTTTTGTTTGCCTTAGAAATTAAGTAACCAGGAATGGTGAAAACATAAGGGAATAAACTGCACAACACCCCCTACCCCCTCACCCAACGCCCCCCGAAAAGAAATCAAAGAGGAAGAGGTGGTAAGGAGGATAGAACTGGTTCATGCCATTCCCCTGCCAACCACTAATGGTCGCTATCAGCCCAGGAAAGCTTGGTTGCCGTCTTTCTGGAGAGTTCTGGGCCCAAGAGGAAGAGGCAAGGTTATAACTAGTTATTTGAATATATGGGGTGATTTAAATGTGGAGTACCTGCATTTTGGAATTTTGGAATTTATAACTTGCATTTTAGAGCATTTAAATTTTCTCTTCAACTAAATGTAAAGCCTTTGATTGGGAAAAGACTGATTTGGTCTTTAGTTTCCCTTAACCTGCCACATTCTGTACCCCCACTTCATACAGCAAAAATCCAATTGGTATTGAGAATAGGGGTTTGGTTTTCTTTGGTAAAGCTGATATTTGGGACAGGTCCAGTGAGTGAGCAGATGGAGTAATAAGTTATCTTCCTGGTGTGAGTAAAAGACATCTTTCTTCCCTTCTAGCTATACAGCACTTTAAAGTCTCCCATTATAGATTCATTCCTTTGGGTTTTACATTGTCCTTGCCTGGTTCTGGCTTTTAAAATGGTAATGCCTCATAGGAGAATGTTTGCATTAAGCCATTAACTCCCTAGCTGGGAAATTATTTTAGCCTGAGACTTCAGCAACTGAGCTAGACAAAGAACTTTGGATTCTGAAGAGAAGCCTTGGCACTAAAAGTGGGAAAATGAAGGGCAGACAAAAGAAGTGGCAGGGAGGAACCAGGGGGACGTGCTGATGAGTACAACTTTTCAACTGTCTTCATTTTTTCTGGCTACAGGTCATGCCTGTCACAGGTACTTGTTAAATACTTGTTGAATGAATGAATGAGGGAATGAGTGAACATACGGCTGATTCACCATGGACTTAGGCATCACAGGGACAGAGTTTAGGGGCATGGTATCTGGCCTATAGAACTCTGGAAGTCCCAGGGCAAGAGAGCACGTGCTGAATGGGTGGCATAAGCTTGTTCATAAGCCCCCTAACCTCCCCCGCACCACCACCCCCCAGCTGCCAGAGCTCAGGGGATATTTGAACCCAGGTTATGCTTGGGGAGAGGAGGGACCTGAAAATTCAGCGACAGTTTCTTCCCCTTCCATGACTAGGAATAGGGATGACAAATGGGCTTCGTCTCATTTGCCCCCCTGGTCAGTTGCTATGCCTCCCAGGAGTTCTGTGTTAAGAGGGATTCTGAAGCCCAGAGGGACAATCTCATGAGCACCTTGCACTGTGTGACCCAGTTCAGGATGGGGGGATCAGCACCTTGTATGTCAGAGTCTGACCTTGGAGCACTGAGCTTGCCTTTTCTCCTTGTGTCTTTAGGGACCCGTGGGAGCCGGCCTGGGAGCCAGGATGGCCATCCACAAAGCCTTGCTGACGTGCCTGGGACTGCCTCTCTTCCTGTCCCCAGGGGCCGAGGCCCAGAACCATGCGCCACCTGGCTGCAGCCCGGACCTCAACCCCCTCTACTACAACCTGTGTGACCGCTCTGGGGCTTGGGGCATCATCTTGGAGGCCGTGGCTGGGGCGGGCGTCGTCACTACTTTTGTCCTCACCATCATCCTTGTGGCCAGCCTCCCCTTTGTGCAGGACACCAAGAAGCGGAGCCTTCTGGGGACCCAGGTGTTCTTCCTGCTGGGAACCCTGGGTCTCTTCTGCCTCGTGTTTGCCTGCGTGGTGAAGCCCGATTTCTCCACCTGCGCCTCCCGGCGGTTCCTTTTCGGGGTCCTGTTCGCCATCTGCTTCTCCTGCCTGGTGGCCCACGTCTTTGCCCTCAATTTCCTGGCCCGGAAGAACCACGGGCCCCGGGGCTGGGTCATCTTCATCGTGGCTCTGCTGCTGACCTTGGTGGAGGTGATCATCAACACGGAGTGGCTGATCATTACGCTGGTCCGGGGAGGAGGCGAGGACGGCCCTCTGGGCAACGGCAGTGCCGGCAGGGCGGCGGCCTCCCCGTGCGCCATTGCCAACATGGACTTCGTCATGGCGCTCATCTACGTCATGCTGCTGCTGCTGGGGGCCTTCACGGGGGCCTGGCCCACCCTGTGTGGCCGCTTCAAGCGCTGGCGTAAACACGGGGTCTTCGTGCTGCTCACCACGGCCACCTCCATAGCCATCTGGGTGGTGTGGATTGTCATGTACACCTACGGCAACCAGCAGCACAACAGTCCCACCTGGGACGACCCCACGCTGGCCATTGCCCTCGCGGCCAATGCCTGGGCCTTTGTGCTCTTCTATGTCATCCCTGAGGTGTCCCAGGTGACCAAGGCCAGCCCAGAGCAAAGCTACCAGGGGGACCTGTACCCCACCCGGGGTGTGGGCTACGAGACCATCCTGAAAGAGCAGAAGGGCCAGAGTATGTTCGTGGAGAACAAGGCGTTTTCCATGGACGAGCCAGCCTCAGGTAGGTCGCGGGACACCCTCCCCACAGCCCTTTCTTTTGTTCCACGTCATGTACCACAGGGCAGGGGCTGGTCTCGAGCAAAATGGAAGGTTCTGGAAATTTATCTACAGTGTTCTGCCTTAAAGCCCCTAAATTCCTTTTTTTTTTTTTTTTTTTTAGCTGAGCCATCCTGCCACCTGTTGGCAGCTCAGCGGCTGTTCAGCTCGGGCCGGGACTCGAACCGCTGTTGCTCAGAGCTCAAACTCTTGAGCGAGCTCTTAACCAACTGAGCCACCTAAATTCCATTTTTTAAAAGATCTTTTTTCTATACTCACGTATTGCATGAATATATTTTCACCATAAAATTTGAAACGTTGCCGATAAAACAAAAGTTTCTCCCAACTTTTTCCACAATTCTACCCCATTCCTTCCTGTTCGTCCTCAGAACCTACCAGCGTTGATTGGTATTTTTAACCTTCGCGTGCCTCAGTTTCCTTATGTGTAACATGGGGATAATAATGGACCCTGCTTCATAGGATTCAGGTGAGGGTTAATTAATGCATGTGCCTCGCACTGGGAAGGTGCCCTAGAAGTATTAGCCGTTAGCTGTGCATAATACTGTTATTTTACTATTATTATCATTATCCTTCATTAATGTACATATCCAGCTATCTTAGTTTCCTTTCAAAACCTTTTCAGTTACTTTTTTTTTTCTTTTTAATGGAAGCACTCGTGCCATATACCGATTTAATAAGCAGCACCCACTATCCAGTCGGCTTGTCCCCAAGCTCCTGCCCGACTCTTGTTAATGGGACAGACTTTCTTGTCGGAGCCCAGCACTCCATGGTGGTTGGACTGGCCCCCCACCCGGGTGGAAGCGGCAGGGAGTAGGGTGGAGCCTCTGCAGCCCGTGCCAAGCCCCCCTTGGGAGGCAGGAATGGGGGCAGCCCCTCTCTGGGAGACTTGGCCAGATGCACTCCCAGCATCCAAAGGGAGGAGTATTTCTCTGGCACTTGTGAACTGTGAGGACCGCCAGCACTTCTTGAGCCCTTGCTGTGTGCCAGGCACTGTGCCTTTCCTGATGGGTCCTATTGTATGTGTCTCACCTGCTTTCTTAGCAGGCTGACAACAGCCCTTTATCTGACATGATCTGGAAACCGAGAGGGGCAGCCTCAAGCCCTGCCCCCGACTCCAGACTGCTGAGCAAGCCGTTTAGGGGCTTAAGACTTTACCTGCCTGATTGTCAAGTGCCAGCTCTGAGGCCTCTGCCAGAGGTCAGAGTTAGAGGCAGGGAAAGTGCCTGAATCAGAGAACTAGAATAACTCCCTGCATCTTCTCTACAAACTGAGATCTCCATAATCTTTGCTTTGAGGAAAGGAGTGACCCTTGCTACACCAGGCACTTGGTCTTTGATCTGCCCCCAGGGTGGCCCCTGGCACACAGAGCAGGGCCAGTTGAGTGTATGTGAATGTGAGGTGGGGGGCAATTGAAAGGCCGGCAGCAGGCAGCAGAAACCGGGGGCTTGTGGACAGTGTTGGGAGGAGCTTCCACCACCCCTACCTCTCATCACACCCCATGCCTATTTGTCAGAGCCAAATAGTTCCCAGCACTTTGTCCTCTCAAGGCAAACACTTCTGGGGCTGTGAGGGTTTTTTTTTTTTTTCCCCCTTTAAATTTTTTTTTTTTTTTTCAAATGGAAAAATCAATCCAGTGAGCCCGGCACTTAGAAACCCTGTATAGTTGTGGTCCTTCAGAGCTGGGGCCATCAGCCTGCAGGAGACAGACATCTGCCCTCGCAGCCCAGCCAGCTCCTGGGCCCCGCAGTTGGTCAGCAATTTTTCTCAGACACCCTGGGAGTGCCTAGCAGGGTGGAACAGATCTGGAAACCAACACACTGACACACCAAAGGTCCCCGGAGCTGAAAATAGTTCTGGAGACATCTTCGGGGCCACATCACAGGATGTGCACTCAGCCCCCCTGGGGGGCTCTGGGCTGTGGGTCCTGGGGACTCAGCACCCAGCTGTGCCTCTGAAGACATGAGGAGCCTTGGGCTGTGGGGGCTCTGCTGTTTCTACCCCGGCACCTGGCAGCTGGCCCACAGCGGTAGAGGCCAGAGCTGGAGGCTGGCCACCTTGGAAGGCGGCCGAAGGCCCATCTGCCCCTGGTGGCCTCTCGCCCCGGAGGGCGGATGGGGATATGAAGGTTGCTGACAGGAGCGTTTTTCTGAGCTGACTGGTGAAGTGTGTGTGTGTGTGTGGGGGGGGGGTCCCACACTACAGGAAAGCCCGATGGGAAGACCAGCAGCCTCGTGCTCCCCATACATCTGAACAAAGGGGTGCTGGGCTCCAGAGGGGCCCCCACACCTACAACCTCACCCTCAAGCTGGCCACCCCTGGCCAGGCTCCCTCCCTGGGTTAGATGTTCCCCGCTGGGGGGCCTAGTCCCCTCTTTGTCTCCCTGTCCCCCAGGGAGCCTTGCTTGAGTGCTGGGAAAGGGAACTGAGAGGCCTGCCCTCAGCCATTCCTGTTTCCTTGCAGCCAAGAGACCGGTGTCACCATACAGTGGGTACAACGGGCAGCTGCTGACCAGTGTGTACCAGCCCACGGAGATGGCCCTGATGCACAAAGGCCCGGTGAGTGGGGTCCCCATGACCCCGATGGGGCCACAGAGCCCAGCCTCAGTGGGTGGGTAGAAAGGGCCATGTGGCCAGTGCAGGGTGAGCTAGAGGTGGTAGGGACAAGGCAGGTGTCTCCATTTAGTACGTCAGACTCAGGGAACCCAGAGCCCCGGCTCCTGATGCGCTTTTGCTGGAGTTGATATACCCACTGCCTTCAGTTCCTCCTTGTCATTGGGGCGTCACATTGACTGGGGCTGCATTGCTGTGGAGAGTGCTGAAGGGGCCCTTTGAGCTGGTGGCAGCTGCCAGCTTCACCCTTAGCAGCTTACAGTAGGTGTCATTCTTGGTGGTCCCAAAGGGACAGAGGACCAAGTAGCAAGTCTGGGTAGGTATTTACTCTTCCACCACAGCTGTCCCAAGAGGGCCTCAGCTCCCCTCCCCCCACCAGCAGGCAGCCACTCCTGACCTCACACCTCCCCTGGGTTCTGGAAACCAGAGGCTCCATTAGGCGAGGGAGGGGGTGGGAACAGGAAGATGGTGGGTTTGATGCACTCACTCCATATATGTTCCTCCTCCCAGCCTGGCAGTCGCTGTGGGGAGAGGTCAGGACCCGCCTGGGCAGGATGCTGGGAACAGGAAGCAGGGAGGTCAGCAGGGTGGTGTTCTCATCCGCTCCCCTGAGAGCCCGGGGCAGGGTGAAGCAAGTCTCTGAAACTTCCGACCCCAGCCCTTCTGTCTCCCGAAGCCTGAACCTGCCACTGGCTGGGAGGGAGCCGGGATGGGCATGGGAGTGTCTGAAATGAGAGCGTCCTCCAGCCCCCAGCCACCCAGCGTGCCCTTAGCTTACCACCCCTCACTCCCAGGGAGGGGGCTGGGAGAGCTGGACTAACTAACGGCATCACAGCGATTCTGAAAACGTGGTCCCCAGACTCTCAGCATTACCATCACCTGGGATCTTGCTAAAAATGCAGATCAGGTGGGGCTAGTGGTGTGAGGGAGCGATGGTTAGCATCTCTTGAGTGACATCACCTTGATAACTTAGAATCTGCCATGATGGGCGTAACCACCTACAAAAACCTGCAAACACTACAGATCGGGCTCCCTCCTGCCCACCTCAGTGGTTAGACATTTACCAGCCCCCACCAGCTAGGGTGCGTGTGGCTTAACAACCAGCCCAGGTGGCTCTGGTGCCCATCTAGATGTTCCAGGAGCTACAAGGGGAAGGGGAGTAAGAGACCACCGGGTGGACCCAAGGCGGCTTGGGGCCCTGGAGCTGCAGGGGTTTGGTGGCAGTTCCTTCCCTTGAGGTAAGGCAGTTTGGGCCTGGAGTTCACCTTCCCTCCAAACGTGGGAGCTGGGACAGGTGCCTCGGGACTCTCTGCACCTCACAGCCCTGTCTCAGCCACGTAAGAACAGGACTGCTGCAGCTCTAACCAGGTTCCAGGCAGAGAATTTGGGTGTTGAGTCTCCAAAACCTTAAAACTCTCAAACCCAAAACCATTTGGAATTTAATTTGCAAATGAGACAGGCCAGCCCAGACTCCGGGATAAGAAATGTGTGGGCATTTCCAGGCCTTGACAGAAGTGCGTGTCTCGGCCAGGCACGCCAGCAGCTAGGATGCTTTTGGGTATTGTAGTGCCTTTGGGGGGACTTGGGTGAGAGTCTTGGAGCAAGGGAGTCTGGGAGCTCCAGACAGGTGACAACAGCTCAGTGTGGTTCACCTTCCATTGGACCCCAAGGTTTGAGGAGCAGGAGGGGTCTTGAAGAGGCTTCATCTGAAAGGGCCAGCCCCTGAGTGAAGCCCTGGGAGATGGAGGGGAGGGGAACGGAGGAGAGGGGGCCCTCTTCATATGCCCAGAGGCCTGGTCCTCTGCTGGGTGAGATAAGGGACTCGAGGTCAGAGGTCAGCCCCTCCATTTCCAGACGTGGAGTCATCCATCCCAGCCTGACACAGGGACCTGGCTGCAGGGGGATGGGAAAGGGGGAGCTGGCAGGCACAGCCCCGCAGGAAGCGGCGTGTTTGTGCATCCGCCCGGCGGAACCTGGCTGTGAGACCGCCTGTTCTTCCTTCCAGTCCGAAGGAGCTTACGACGTCATCCTCCCACGGGCCACCGCCAACAGCCAGGTGATGGGCAGTGCCAACTCAACCCTGCGGGCTGAGGACATGTATGCGGCCCAGAGCCACCAGGCGGCCACACAACCAAAAGATGACAAGAACTCTCAGGTCTTTAGAAACCCCTACGTGTGGGACTGAGTCGGCACCAGGAGTCAACAGGCAGACGTGGGAAGGGCGCTCGGGACCTGGCCTGGGCCAGGGACTGCTCCCCATCCCCTCTTGCTGGCTCAGGGCAGCTTGTGCCTCAGCCGTGGGGCCCTCCCTCTCGGCCAATGTTTGGGTGGGTGTCCCGGGGACCCCCACCCCACTCCTCAGTGTTTGTGGCATTGAGGAGCCAACCCCGGCTTCTTGCCAGGGTCCCCTCCAGTGGTCACGCTCCAGCCAAATAGTATTCTTGGGGTGGTGGCCTGCCAGCGCCTACCTTCTCTAGAGTCTTCGCAGAGATTCCGGCAACCTCGAGAGACTTCACAGGCGTTTTCTGTCCAGGGTCTTGCTCCTCTGTGAGGAACAAGGTGCCTAATAAACACATTTCTGCTTTATTAACCCTTCCTCTGGGAGTGTCGTTCCTGACCCAGGCTCTTGGTTTCTGGCGAACTGCTCCTCTGTGGCCTAAGGGTCGTTCCTTCCTCCTCTTCCCTCCATATCCAGGCCACAGGGAAGCTGCTGTGAGTTTTCCTTCTGTGCAGTTAAGCAGCTGACGCTTCTACCTAATGAAGGAAACTTCAGCTGAGCCTCTGTGTCCCTGTTGTGTGTGACCACAATAAACTGAGCTGGCTCCCATCTAGGGTCTAGTCCAGCCTCTGAGCTTGTCTAAAAGCAGGCAGCTTGGCTCTAGGCCCCCTTCCACTGGCTGCATCGGGGACCCCCCCAGCAGGCAGTCCAGTGGGAGGCATGTGTAAGGGGAGACGGGCTAATTTCAGCCCTTCTCAGTGGGAACAGTGGTTAAGACCCTTCAGGAGAAGAGATGGAAGGATCGCTCTGCTCTGTGCTCTTAGGTGACTTGACGAAGCGGGTTTACAAAGTGGAAAGGATCGGGCCAGGCTGTGGTTGGTTTGACTCCTGGGCAGGATTTCAAATGCTCATTTGCTCTCAGGGGAAAGCCTTTCCACATTAGCTCATTGTCATCCTCCCGACTGCCCTGAAAGGTGAGCTGGACAGTCTTCTCCTTTCCAGACTTGAGAATCCCAGAGCTGTACCATTTTAGGGTGAGATGGGGTTCTTGGGGTAAGTTAGGGGTGCGGTTTTCCTGTCCCTCTTTCAGGTCAGCAAACTGACCCAGAGAGTCCACACAGCCTTTAGAAGTGGCCACACCCAGACCAGCCAGCTTTTCTCGAGACCCTGACATCCAGTGGCCTGGGCGTGCATGAGCGGTGGTGTCCTGACCCTTGGACACTGGCTCAAGGCTGCAAAGCCCGCCCCTCCCCGGCTTGGGAATGTTTCTCCCTAACTGACCAGAAGCTATTTTCTGACACCGGTTGTAGGAAAAAATGTTTCTGTTGGAAGGGAGAGAAAGGTTGCTGGAGGAAAAAAAAAAAACAAACTTCACCCAAGCTTTCCCTTCTATGTCAGATTGCACCAGCTCCCCGGGGACGCCAATGCCTTTTTTAGTATAAACTCATACTTGGGGCCCAAGCAGTAGGGTCCCCTTTGACTCTTGTTCTTTCTGGTTACTTTAGGCTCAATCCCCACAAAATAAAACGAGATGGTAGACGCCCTGTTCCCTGGACTGCACATCGTCCTGATGTCCTCATTCCTGTGTCCAGGCTGGGCAGATCCCAGCACCTTTCCCGCCCTTGTCATTGGAGCTGGGAGGGCCCGGAGGCCACCGACCTGGAGCAGTGGACTGAGGGGGGATGGCTGGGGCTCTAGGACCACCCCTCTTCCTGCCCTGCCTAGCTTTTCCTGGTCCCCAAGTGACTGAGGCCACCAGGAGCTGTCTGCATACAAGCCTGCCTCCATCCCCCTCGTGACACCCTCCCCCATATCACAGCCCCGGTGTCCTCATGCTGTGGGTCTCCAGATGGCCATCCTCAGATGCTCCTGTCGTCACACCATGGGCCTTCCTGGCCATGTTTTGGTGTCCACCATCAGCTTGCCCCGCTCTGTGCCTAGGTGAATCCAGGTGAACTCCTCCGTGAGTTTTTGGAGCCACACCGTGGCGGGAGTTAGCCCCGGGCCTTCTGCCACCACCTGGACTGTGGAAGGCCACTGAACTGGGGCAGAGCTCATTCGAGGCCTGGACAGACACCACTCCTCTTCATGGCCTGCGGGTCTGGGATCTGAGCCCCTGTGGTGCTTCACTCCATGCCCCATGACCCCCCATGCCTTCCCCACCTTCGATGAACTGGGTTCCATCAAGATACAAGATGGGGGTTGGGCTGCATTCTCAGGGACCAGTTGGGCATCTTGGACCACGTGGACTAGAGTCTAGGCCTCTTCCTGGACAGACCTGTGGGACTTAGGAAGGCCCCTTAGGTAAGTGGCGTCCAGGACTGAACATTGTACCTTTCCGGATGGGCAGATATGTAGGTTTCTACCTCACCGTGGGCACCTCAATGTGCTGGCGCTGCTCTGCTCACCCAGGACATGCTCCAGAGGGTCCTGACGGCCACCAGGGAAGTGAGGGACATCCGTTGGACCTGAATGTTGCTGGCACCAAGGACAGAGATGTGCACAGCTCCAGACCCGGGAACATCTCTAGATTGTCTCCCTGGCTTTGCCCTGCCATCTGGTACCAGACACAGCAGGTTTTTCTGGGGTGGGGGCCTCCCCAGGTGTGCCCCTGGAGCTCAGGTCTCAGCCCAGCATCACCATCGCCTCTGGGTGCCAAGATGAGGGTGAGGACGAGCAGCGGAGGTGGGCTGGGTTGTGCCCAACTTCACCCTAGGCTCAGTCCCAGCTCCAGTGCCACCCTCCTGCCCCCAGCAGCCTGTGCCTTTGTCACTGGAGTATTTCTCTAGAGCTAGATGGGTGAACAGGCCCTGTTGCAAGTAAGGCTGTATACCCACGTGTGACAGTCTCCCCGTTTGCTATCCGTTGTGCAGGGTCACTCAGTTCCAAGAATGGAGTGTAACTTCCCTCTGATAGAAGGGAAGGGGGGAGCTCTGTGCACCTCAGACGTCTCTTGATCTAGGCTAGTGGCCCTAAGATCCCTTACGGTGAATAAAGGCACTATTTTGCTTTTCGAGGTGAGTCTCACGTGAGTCCTTGCAGCGCCCAGCGGCCATGGGAGTGGCCTGAAGTGAATGTAGGTTTGTTCATAGTCCGAGTCCCCTGGGTGCCTGCTGGTGAGGCTCAGGGAGGGATGGGCTCCTAAAAGATGCAGGCCCGCCCGGATTCAGGCATTCCTCATGACCCTTAGCCAAGTGAAGACGGTAAGAGAAGTGGTCCAGCTGTATCACCAACAAGCCTTGAGTGGAAGAAAACCAGAATAGGCCAGAGCCCGTTGCAGGTAAGGTCAGGCCAACACCTTGGTAAATTTCATGCCCTCTCTGTCGAACTGTGTCGCTCGAAGCAGAGTAGTTTGGACTTCATAAGTGCTAGGAGTTAAATGACCGTATCACCTCCATTTGTGAGGAATTGCTACCGGTGAATCCCCGTGTTCATTAAGAATTTGTCTGGACTTTATTAATAATATATATATTTTAACTCTTATTCCTTGGCCTTCTAGACCAAGAAAGGCTGTTTGATTCCAAGTAAACGTTTTCTTGGTTGGGAATTTATTCTAAGAGGGGGAAACCAGGTTTCCCAAACCAGCCGTGCCCCCCTCCCCGACCCCAACACACAAGGCCTGGGGATGAGGCAGGAGGGGGCAACCCGTATAGTCCTGCTGCCTGGCATGCTGAGGGGACACTGTTGGGTGAAATGCTGGGCTCGTGGGAAAATGTACTGGGGCCAGGGAATGGTCAGTGCCTCCCTGGGCCAGGAGGGCCTGCCAAGTGCCACGCCCAGCATTCAGTTTACACATGTGGTTCCCACATGTGTTCAGAGCCCCTCACAGCTCATAGAAGAACAAGAAACAGGTTAACTGACTTGCTCCTTGTCATGCGTCTCGGAAGGGCATCTAGAAGCATTCGTCAGCTCTCCAACCCATTTTCACCAAGCCTAAGCACTTTCGCTAGCCCCATGGGGACGTGGTCAGACGCAGGTGCAGGTGACCAGACTTTGTTTCCTGTCTGCTGTCTGCACTCTGGGCCGTCCGGAAGCTGCAAACCCCACTCACAGCAGCCCATGAATTATTTAGCATCTGCAACAGCCTGGTAATGCTCTGACCTCATCCTCCTTGGGCTCAGGGCGCGGCTCTGACCTTGGTCTCCTTGAAAGGATGCCGATAAAGAGGAGGCTGGGGTGGTGGGTCCCTCTGTGGGATGCAAGTGATGGAAGGAGGGGACACCAGTACCCTCAGGAAGAGGTGGGGGCCAGAGACCAGCTACTACCCTTGTAGCATGAGGCAGGTCTGCAGAGGAGAGAACATGACCCAAAGCTGACGACCACGGGTTCAAATCTCAGCTCTTGCTTACTGGCTTTGTGACCTTGGGCAGCTCTCTTGACCCGTCCTCAGTTTCCTCATCTGTAAAATGGAAGTACTAACACTGAGTTCGTATTTAGTGTTCTAGCCCCTCCAGGTCACTCCTGAAAGTCACGGCCAAGGCAGAGCATCCAGGATCTAGCTGCCCTGTGTCCAGATCTCTAGTTGGTCTCTAGTCCAGATCTCACCAGTTGTCAGCCCTCTGGCGATGCCACGTCTTCCCTTTCCTCTGCTGTCCCTCATGCATCGGGTCCCCAAAGTGGGATGGCAGGTAGCTGGGCTAGGAGGGGGACAGCCCCTCGGCAGTGCCTTGACTGACAGGGATAAACAAGTTAAGAGGGTCACCTGGGACACAGGAAGTCAAGAAGCCGGGCTGAAGAGGGAGGATTGAACTGCTTTCTATTGGTCAGCACATGTTTATTGAGTGCCGGTTCCGGGGACATAGAGATGAGCCAGAGCTGGTCCCTGCTCTCTGGCGCTCACAGCCTGACGCCTCCTTTGCCAGGTCAGGCCCAAGGGCTGAAGTGGGAGTGGTGACGGTGGGTTCCATCTTGGATCCTTGTGAGCATTAGGCAGGCACATCCTGCTTCCAACAGGCACCCCTTCCCAAGGGGCACCTTTGCTGTCAACAGGGCTCCTTAGGTGGGACCTGGTTCTTACTAGCTCCCTGACTTTGGGCAGCTCCCTGACCCTGCCTGGGTTTCGCCACAGGGCTCTGCGGAGGGTGCGTCCCAGTGGCCTGACTCAGGTCTGGAGCTGAGCTGGGCTGATGCACGGCTAATGCCCGGCTGTGCCTGGGACAGAGGTGCTGGGTCCCTGTGGGCAGTGGGGCCCAATCCCAGTAGCTCTCTGATGGCTTCCCCAGGCCTCGCCAAGGCAGGGGGCCCGGGAGGAGCCCTCTGTAGATTCTGCTGCCAGGAGCGGGAGCACAAAGGGGACAGCTGCTCTTTCCCCCACTGCACCAGAGGGCCGGTGGGGACTGGAGGCCACAGAAGGCTTTACGGTTCCTTGACAGAGCGTCACAGCGGCAGCCCTACCCTGAGCGGGTATGGGGAGGGCGCGGGCTCCGGAACCCCTTTGGCTGCACCCTAGACACTCCACTCAACCCCCGACACACCTGGAGCGGTGGATGGTGGGGGTGGGGATTCAGCCTCGGGCGCTCTCACGTCACTCTCCAGCCAGGGCCCGCCCCCGACCCCAGCCAACCCGAGGCCGCCTCCTGCTCCCCACCCCAAGCCCCGCCCGACATCCCTGCAACTTGATCCCGGCCTCCAGACCAGCGGGCTGGGACCGGCTGTTCAGCTTCCGCTGCAGGCTGTGGGGCCCCCGCTGCGCTCCCCACTTCTGCCTGGGGAAGGCGGTCGCAGTGTCCTCCCCACCCCCAAGACCCTGTCCTTCCACTCAGCCTCCCCTCCCGGATTGCAGTCTTTTGTGGCCTTTTTCTTGTCCCCTCCCAGCTGCAAGCCCCAGATCCGGGCTCGTACCTATAGCGTACATCCCTGTATTTTTGGGTCCAGTACATAGCAGGTCCCAGGTCCCAAGAGAAAGACTCTCCCAGGAGGCCAAGGCTCCTTACGTTACATGGGTGGGTGTAATGGATCCGGCTCTGGGGGGAGGGGGGTTCACAGCCTCGCACTGCTGACATTTGGGACCAGATCATTCTGGGGGGGGGGGGGTCTGTGTATCGTAGGATGCTGGACAGCATCTTGGCCTCCACCTACTAGATGCCAGTAGTATCACCGCCCTCTTAGTTGTGACAACCAAAAATGTCTCCAGACTTTGCCCAGTGTCCCCTGGGGGCAAACTCTTGTGGTTGAGAACCACTTCTGTGGGGGATTAAGTGGGTGCTGAGCCAGCCCACACAGGGGCCTCCCAGCCCTGAAATCTGTGAGGGTATTTCTGGCCTCCCCCTCCTCCAGGCTGGTTCACAGACATCTCGGTCCAGCCTGGGGACTGAGACCCTTAACCTGACAGCATTTGGGCAGGATGTGGCCAGCCAGCTCCTCTCACTGTGCAAACACCTTCTCAGCCCCTGCTCTAATGTGGGTGCTGAGCAGGCCCTGGGATGGGATGAGGGAGGCTCAGGTGTTTACCTGTCACTAGCAGTCAGAGTAGTTGTGGCACCAGAAAGAGACTCACACAGCATGTCCATCAGACACCCTTGGGGTTTCTGGAGAGAAACTGGGGGGAGGGGGCTCTGTGGGCTGAGGCCACCAACTGAGGCTGTCAGGACTGAGGGGCAGGGGAGTGTCCTGGTCAGCAGGAGCTCAGCTTTGGGCCCCAGTCCTTGGAGTTCACCAGACGTGGCAGCGGCTCAGCCTGTTCTCTCCATAGGGAAGGCAGAAACCGGGCAACCCCTTATACACACACACACACACACACGCGCGCGCGCACACACACACACACGCACACGACACTTGCATGCACATACACACGGAGGTAAGGAGTGGGGGAGTGGGGTCTTGGAGGAAAAAAAATGAATCAGTCCCAGCTGGGGAAGATTCCTTCCAGTCTCTTAACCAGGCCCAGGTGAGGGTGGTCATAGCCAAGCGGGGGACACGCAGCATGGGGACAGGATACTGTTGGCACCAACCCCTCTTCCCCACGTGCAAAGTAGGATTTTCTCTTCTTTCCCTTCCCCTTCTTCTTCTTCTTCTTCTTTTTAAAGAATTTATTGAGGAGTTGGGGAAGGGAACAGTGTTGGGGGAATTGGGGAAGGGGAACATTGTGTTTTTCCAGGACCCATCAGCTCCAAGTCAAGTTGTTG